CACACCGGCCAGCCTCCACTGGCCAGCCCCCCACCGGCCAGCCCCTGCCAGTGGGTGGGTATGTGCCAGGGCCCTTCAGTCACAAGGCACCCATCTTTCTGTGCCAGGTGCTAGACCAGGATGGCTGCACCTGCTCCCCCTCCCCCCCTCTCCCCCTCTCCTCCTCGCCTCCCACCTCTGTACCTCAGCAGCTCCACTTCATAGTGAGTGCTTTCCGAGGGATTCTGGATGGGCGTCCAGTGGAGGATGTGGCGGAAAAACTCTGCTTCGAACCACACGGATGCAGGGCTGGGCAGCACTGTCCCTGGGGAGGAGGGTCAGTTTCAGGGCTGGCAGGGCCCCGGGATGAAGGTGCTGAGGGGGAGGGGAGCGAGCTTTTTAGCAGCTCCCCGTATGGCGTGCCTTACTGTGAGCCAAGTCCTCTACATATACTGTCTCATTCATGATCACACAGCCACAAGGCAGGCATTGATCACCCCGTTTCCTGGGGAGGAAATGAAAGCTCAGAGGGGCTGAGCGACTTGCCCAAGGCAACAGGGCGAGTCAGGAAAAGAGCGGGGCCCTGGGTGCAGGTGGGGCCCTTAAGTCAGAGTCCTGTGCAGGCTGGCCAGAAGCAGAAGTGGTGGCTGAGAAGAGCCAGGCTGGGTGCAATGCGTCCTGGGATGGAGGCAGGGCTGTGGGCCTCGGCATGTCCACAGTGAGCTTTGGATGAGCTAGCCCCTGGCTCTGCCCACCCCTGCCCCTGCTCCAGCCCCATTCCACGGCCTGCCCTCCAGCCTCAGACCTGGTCCCCGCTCTGGCCCCAGACCTGGCTCCGGCCCCTGGCCTTCTCTCTGGCGTCTCTGGGCCCACAGATACCTGCTTGTGGGCAGCTGCCCGTTTCTCTTCACAGGTCTGCTGGGCAGCCCCAGGCTGAGGGCGTGCCCCCTGCCCCGCTTCTATAACCAGATGCCCAGCCTCAGGTTGGGTGAGAACAGACAGAAGGCAGCTGCCCTTTCCACAAAGCGCTGACACCCTTGGCTCTAAGGGAGACACTGAAGACCAGTCCGCTCCCTCTCCTGTCTCCCTCCCCCGCCCTTCACCGCGGGGGAGCCAGTGTGCTGGGCGAGTTATCAGACCTCACTGAACCCTCTCTCGCGTGGGTAAGAGGGCAACACATACACCGACACTGAGTCTTGTCCGTCGAGCGCCATGAACAGCTCAAGGCCGGTATCCACACTCAGTTCCCTTCTCTCCTCCGGACCCTCTTGCCGCTCGTCAGTCAGGGGCCCTCTCAGGCTTCCCTCGCCTCTGACTGCCTCTCTCTAATAACGCTCCCTTCCTCTAACTGTCACGCTGACTTAGAAATCTGCCGTCCCTTGCTGGCTTTCTGATATTGTCTCTGATCTTCAAGTCTGTGTCTCGATTTCAAAACGTCAGATGGAAAGTGAGAGGCGCAGCAGGCCTTTGAGCTCCTGGTCATGTGAGCGGCTGCGTGTTCTCGGTCCCTCTGCCCTGGTCCCTGCACCTCCCAGCCTTTCATGCTCTCTCTCCAGGGTTAGTTGCTCTTCTTGCTGCAGAAACTCTGCAGGTCAGCGGCTGGTTAGGAACCGGAGCTGAGGGGGAGGAGCGGGAGGCAGGGGCCAGGGGGGTGCCTCAGGGGCTAAAGAAGGAGCAGAGTGACCAGAGGGGGTGACAGGTGTCCCGGAGGGAAAGGCTGGGGTAGTTAGCTGGGGGGCGGAGGGAAGGTAGGCAGATGGCAATCGGGTAATTCCCACGGGGACAGGGTCCAGTCCTTTGAACTAGAGCAACAGGAAAGCCAGGAGCACTGATGGCTGCAGGTAGGTGGGCGATGCCTTGAGGAAGGGGGTCATTTAGCTCTCCCCCCGCCCCCCAAGCAACCCCAGCTTCTTCCACTTCCCGAAGAGTGACCCCCTGCCCCCAGGCCAGGCTCCCCCGAATGAGGGATCCGGGAGGCGCCAGATGATGGACGCCGCTCTCTCCAGAGGCCAAGCAGCCGGGGTTCTCCGTGGGACACTGAACTTCCACGTAGGGGTGAGGACGGTGGGGGGCGGGCGTGGCCACCCACACAGCGCAGCCGGGGC